ATGACCCACTCCAGTGATGTACTGTCTTAAGTATTACTACAAAAGAAGGAAAAGCAACAGCTTCAGGGAGCCAGCTGCAGCAACATTCATACACCTGCTTTCAGGCTAACAGTTTGTCACAACAGAGTCACGCAAACCTGCCCATCTCCTCAACAATGTCTTTTATGCCCATTTTTCTTTCCTTCATCACACCCTCTTGAAATAAACTGGCACCTCCAACCATAGACATTTTGCTACAGAAAATTGTTTTATTGCATGTTTCTCCTCTGCTTTCAAGTCAAATGCAATTACAAGCGGGTGGGGGAAAAACTAAGCAACGGCTCCAAATATGCATTCTCATGTTTTTGCAACTGCCAAGTAGCCCATTGAAAAGCTCCATCTTTTCATTTCTATGTTTTATATGACATTTAAAAATGCCCCACTCAATTTTTTCAAGTACATCTTTGAATCTAAGAAAATTCTGTATTTAATATCAAAACTATGACCTTTTTAATACTCTATCCCCACAATACTTTCTATATACGCATACAGAGTCATTACTCAGAAGCACAGCATCAAAATCAGCTCTTTTCTTAAAGTAAGGAAAACACCAGAACTAATCCAGAACAGTATTCTATGGGCGCACGCACACACAGACACACAAAAAAAATCAGTGTAAGGTCAAAAAAGTATGCCTGTCCATGCAGTCAACCACATGAAAGAAGATCGTCCTTCACTACATTTCTGTTTTTAACTTGTGAATTTGAGGAAATGGTGAAGCCAGGAAAATATCAGAATTACACTACATTCAGTGTACTGTGTGGTTAGCTCCTCGCAACTTTTGCATGAGGGATATCTAAACAGTGGTGAGTCCTGACCTATGCTAATCCAGTTTCTGAGGCTTTGCCTCATGCATATTCACGTGGCTAGTCTATTCTCTGTTGTTCTAATGGACACAGAAGCAGTTAACTTTTCATCAGACCACTCTTGCACCTTCTTCTAGTCAAGAAAAAGCATAAGACATCACTACTAGCAGTGGCTTTTGTCGCCAAAAGCCAGAAGAAAAACAAAACCAACTTTGTCCTGTTCCTTGAATTTCTTTCCAAAGCATTTTTTTTGCTCACCATTATAAACAACTGTCCTTGAGCTTTTGGGTCTGATAAATACAGCAGTTCCTTTATCACCACACTAACAATTCTGAACATTTTCCCTAGGAGGAGTGACAGACAGGAACCAGCACTGCTCAGGCACTGAGGCCCTGTGATTCCCCCGTACATCACAGGCTGGCAAAGAGCCACATGTAAAGGAAACAGAAAAGATTTCAAAGGTAATTTGATAGAATTTTTCTTAGAATTTTGTTGAAATTTTACAATGTTGCATTTTGACAAATCAATCAAGAAGCTTTCTTTGGAAGATTTGAAGCATTTCACTAAGTAGACATTTCCAAGAAAAGAACAACAATCTTTTAATCTTCCTTGCTGTGTTTGAGAGCCTTTGAATCCTTTGCTTGACTCACTATCATTCTATATTATGCCTCTCACTTATATTCTTCTAAATATGCTTTATATTCTTCTAAATATGCTGTCCTCAGCAAAAGCTATAAGCAGCACAGAGACTTAAAAGCATTCTTTTAAAGATATATATGCATTTAATTCATTTGCATAACAAAAAAAATTGAGGACCTGCTTTGTGAGCACACTGCAGGCAGCAGATGGCTTTAGCTCTTTGGTCTAATGACAGAGTTACTCCAAGTTGAAGACTGCAGGGGTGTGAAGACACTAAAATTCATGTTCTGGACTATTGTAATGAAAACCTTTGTAATGAAGACTATTGTAAAGTAATGAACATTTTGCAGTGAGGTTTACAAACAACCTTGATGGATGATGCATTCAGACACACTCATTTTGAAGATTCTGAAGAAGCAGTAAGAATTCTCCTCTTCTGATTTTTGTCTCCTCTTACTTTCTAACAACATAAATACATACAGACATATATTTATATATGTGCACACACAAAAATACACACACCCTCCCTCCACAGCTGAGCAAGCGTTTGGGGATCTCACTTCCCCTACCATGTTCCAATTCCATTTTCTCTCCCCACAATTGTCACTACTGTTGCTCCCCTTCTTTCTAGCCATCAGATAAAACTAAAAGCAAAATTTAGCTTGAACCTGACCTTGGACCCATTTTTGCACTTCCATTGCATCCATACACACATGCTGAATCTTCCTTTGCTGTGAAGAACAGAAAGACATACTTTGTATGTTCCACAGGCAAGAGTAAGATGGGACATATGGAAAGCAGGTAATTTCTAAGGGCTTGTTGTGAACTGTTAACTCTCTCGGGTTACAGCGTAACATGCTCATTTAAGTGCCCTGTAAGAGCTGTAGAAGAAATATCTCAACTTAAGCATCCCCCTCAATCTAGCACATCTGAGGTTACAGAATGAAACCTCAGAGTGAGAAGGTAAGCACTTGGAGGTGGTCCCACCTTAAATAAGGAAAAAAATTTTAAAGCCATTAAAAATTACCATTAGTTACCTGCCCTATGCCTTTGTCAGAGGCAAATACATCACTATCAGACCACTACACAATAGTATACAAGACTGCAAGTCCACTGGTACTGGATTTGCCCCAAACGGGATTGAAATGGGGCGACTAGAACAGATATCTTTAACTGCCTCTGTGTTGCTGCACTGAACAGTGGAGCCGGGCTGATGCTTGCAAACAGGCAGCACAGACAGTTCCTCATTGCTTAATAACATGGTGCTATGTTCATGACTGCCAAAGAAATAAAATCTAGATACTCAGAAGAGTTTTCTCTTTATATAATTAGGTTATCATTGAACTTGCAAGCAGAAATACAAATCCCAATGAAGCACAAAATCCCTGTAACAATAACTTGTATTTAGTCGGGTAATACCTACAAGCCTCAATCACCCCAGAAGAGCCTCAGAATTGAGACTGAAAAGTTTTATAGTCCACTCTCACAAGGAGAAAGAAGAAATTCCAGGGGTAAGGGGTAAAAGAGTAAGAATTAACTGTACACTATTGGGTAGAAACATATGCTATTTAGCTGTCAATTACTCTAAACTTATCTAGACATTGAATACTAAATTTAAGACTGCTCTGTGACTTCTACCTCATTCTAGAGCACACAGAACACTATATTCTTGCAACCTGCTACCATGGGAAGAAGGTATAATAAATTTTATTAATCCTCCATTCAAACTGGAAACATAGTAGCAAAAAAAAGGTTATTCTGCACATGAACAGAACAAAACACCAATAGTTTGCTCAGGTAACCTGGTAGCCAGTCACCCAGTAGAAGTGACCAAACTAATGAAGTCTGATCAAGATTAGATCAGGCTTGACATGACAGATTGCAATGTTTAAGTATAAAACTTGAAATCACAAGCAAAACACCCTCCATCACATCTAGGCAGAAGACATGCTGGTTTTCTTCTCTCTCTCTTTTTTTAAATAAGCTGAACCTACAAAACATTCCAGGGTAGAAAAGATACATATTTTACTATTTTCTAATAAATTATTTTTACATTAAGTAAAATTGATCATACTAATCCTTTCTGCAAAATTGATGCCTTTATGTTTCAAGTGTTATATATCCTTATGAGGTCAAATAAAACAGAGCCAGAAGAGTTGAGCTCTGGGAAAAGATTCAATTAAATTACTGGGAGTCCTTGGAGATATAAGTAAATTTAGGTACTTAAAGTTGATCAAGTCCAAGATTGCATTTTCATGGGAAGAACATGACAAGTTCAACAGACATTCTCACACATTTAAAAAACAAAAAACACAACCCAAAACCACAAAGCTGAGTGGAAGTCTACCCATACCAGACATTGCCAAAAAGCCCACACAGATGCTGTGTGAGAGAACTGGGCAGGTTTACATCATACATAAGAACTCCCAATGTACTCCCTTCCCACTTTAATCTAAATATTGCCCAGATTTAGGAAGCATCCTTTTGTCTCTCCTACCAGTTAGTTCTCTTATTTCCTTGACATCTCTACAGAGAATGATTCATGCTTGTCTAACATTTACTAGAGGACTATGTTGGTGGAAAACAGTGACTCTCTTCCAAGACTAATGTGAGAAACAATCCTTGACCAGTTCTCAGTGAATGCTATTGAAGTCTCTCATAAATTGTGTTTGCTGACTTTGACACTTCTCTTGCCATAACAAAAAGTACATATGCAACCAAACCCAAGCTTAAATACAGCAGACCAAAGCAAACATTTAAAACACAGTAAATTCTAATAAACCTATGGCATATGAACTGCCACTTTCCTCAACACACTGACCCAGCCTGCAGTCTATTAATGAGTTTTCTAAACTGAAGTGGCACTGCCACCTTAAGACACAAGGCCAGCATTGCAATTTTCACTATTCTAGACCAGTAAAAAAAAACAAAAAAACAACCAAAACCTTCACTTTCTAAATTTTTTATAAAAAGATTTTCATGTAAAAAAAAATTCAAAAACAAAACTGTGCAAGAAATGCACTGCTTTAAGTATATTATCATGTTGCTACTATTTTTCTCAGTTAAGTAGCAATTTAGCTTATGTTCAGCATTTTAACATTCACTAAAAGGCATCACGGTGAATCAAAGTTCTCCAATTCTGTCCACAGCACCTGCAAAACTGCACTACTTTTGTAACTCTTAACTTTTAGCAATAGTGATAATACTTTTAGTATCTAGCCACAGTTATTGTGACATTTACATATGGAAGGACTTTTAAATACACACATCAAAAAATTTGATTGGGTGACAGCACAGTTAGACTATTAATTGAGGTAAAAGTCTTGTCAACCTAGCACAAGCTCTGAATAATTTAAAGGAGCCAAGCCATTCTCTTACTTACCTACAAATGTGGTATGGTACTCCACTGCTGTGTTGATGATATGCACGCAAAAAAATTCTTTAACTTCAGACAAGATGTGAATTAACTTTTTAAAAACTATTTCCACATTATTATAGTGAAAAGAACAATCTTACCTTTAGTAGAATATGCTTCAGCAATCATCCGTAGCCTATATGGTGGCACTGCAGCTAGCTGCAAGTCATCAACTCCAACTCTGGCATATGTGTTCAGAGCTTCTTTGTAATCACCTTCCACGTAGTTTAACTTGGCCATAATCAGGTTAGCTTCTTGTAGGAATTCTGGCTAGAAGGAACAGGAATAAGAAAGGGGTTTTTTTCCCTGAGAAAACACACTTAATTCTTTCTGATAATTATTTGGTCTGTTTTCTGTATATATTCACTGTAGAAACCCTCAGGATATTTCTTGTAACAGAGCAACAAACCAACAAAATCCTGTCTTCATGTAATATTTGGGAAGCTTGCAATAGGGGGTGAATCCACAAAATCTCACTCCACGAAGCTACTGAAAAGCATTACTGGTCATTTTATATATTCACATATTTATTTACACATGCACCAGAAATACTTCTCGGTCAGAATCCAGCTTTGCCAGGTCACAAAACTACTTAAAGGCAACCTAGCATTACTACAACCCCTCCAATGATTTTTCTTCTAACACTACAAGCACAGTTGAAAATAACATAGCATCAAAAACTTAATGATACTTGTTCCACAGCCTATATATTTAATTTGCACAATTTCTAAGTATCAGGGCAGAAGAAATGTCTTGAAAAAATTATTCATGGAAGAATAAAGAAAGAAAAGGAAGAGAAATTAATAATCTCATAAATCACAGGAAACAAAATGTTACAGATGACTGTAAAACAAGGTCCTTTTGATTTCTCAAAAGATGGACATTGAGTACAGAAAAGATAAGCTGAAGTAGTAGCTACAACAATAGTTAAGTAAAAGAATGGTCAGAATGGTTAAGAATATCAAAAGGTTATGACAGAAAATGCTCTCAGGTATTAACCTCACTTTCCACACCTGCACATACAACTTAAGGAACCTTTCCTGAATACTTAAGAGACTATTACAGAAATTTGTGAAGTATTTTGCATTTTTAACACTTCTCTTTAATGCACTACAGAGAACAATAGTTATATACTCCAAGAAAAACTTCCACAAAACAGGTTGCAAGTACTTCACTTAAGCATCCCAAGAAGTCAATGAGAATTTTCTTAGTCTTCTAATGAAAGAAGATTTAAGAAATTTATCTGAATAAAAATCCATGAAGAAACAAAGAGCCATAAAATAGCATAGTGCTGATGATGTTCTGGGAACAGCAATGATGATAAAACACCACACAAGCACGTTTCCACATTCCATTTTTCTCCATGATCAGCAGAGTATTCCAGTCAATTTCAGCTTTTCTAATTCTTGCTCAGACTGACTTACATACCTTTAGGTTTCCCCTATCAAGCGCTGCCGTGAGATGTTTCCTGACCTCGGTCAGTTTTGGCCGGGGGCCCCGTGGACTACTAGTCTGTTTAAGAGCATTTTCCTTCAAAAATTGCTCTAATTTGGACTCCCCAAGAAGAAGTTCTGCCATGTCATCTGTAAATAAATCCAAACACATGAAATATTAGAAATAACTTTATTTCACTAACATTTCAGTGGAGGCAGCCATTGCCTAAATTTTAAATACAAACTAACCAAAACACAGTGTCAAGTATTCAGATTTAACACAAGTCATGTGGTAATTTTACTTTTCAATTTATCTTTTACCTGCCTGATTCATTATAGAATCAAGTCCCCTGTGTTTTAAAGCATAATGAATTAGAACATTAACCTGAAGTCAGTATTCTCCCCTTCCTCCTTAAAAAGCAACACTTGATTTAAAAGCCTTATGTAGCTTTCTGAATGTGACAAGATACGCTTCTGATACTCACTTTACCAAAAAAAAAGGTGTCTTTCACAAAATGCCTATTGTAGTTTCAAATGTGAATATTGATATTGGATTAATTTATGCAACTGGCTTTAAGTTACATGTCCCTTATGATGTCTTTGATCACCATCCGTATCTTGGCTGTAAGAATGTGTATCACTCAGACCTTGTTAAGTCTCCAGGCATCCCAAGTCTTCACTATGAAAGTTTCTCATCATTCTCCCTGTTTCTTAGGAGGCTTGCCCCCACTTCTCAGACATGAAGGGAGAACGTAATACCAGGCTGCCCAGCAAAACTGCAGCTAGCATGTTTGCTGAAAGTCAAGAAACTGACCATCCCTTACCTTGTCCTTATGCAGGACCACTAAACTTACTTTACTGAAACATCTTGAGCAGTTCCTCTAGTGAGGAGCGAGCTGTAAAAATAATCACCTCACTATCTGGGACTTGAAAAGACCAGATCATGTCTTGTAAATAATGTCTGAATAACCCAAATTTGAACTAACAATAAATAAAATAGATTTTAAAAAGGGGAAAGGGAAAAAGCTAACAATCAGAAAAGTGCTCACCACCCTATAACCTTTAGCACTATCCACAGAGGTTATGGGAAGGGACAGAAAGACCAGGACATGCAGAACTCAGTGTTACTGTAGAGGAAAAGCTTTCCCTCAGAAAGTGTAAAAGCATCAGCATTACCTCACCTTTTAAGTACAGCAAATTTCAGTCTCATGTCAGTTGGACTAGTATAGGATCCATGTACAATGCCATTATACAGTAAGCTAGAAGGATCGGTGCTGTCCTATAGTATGTCCTATCAAGGAGAAAGACAAAAACCTAGAATTTTTTTTTTTCCTTAAAAGCTCCAGCTAACTGCTGCTTCTTAAACCACAATTTCTTCAAGAGAGAGTTTAAGAGACCAGACAAATAGCAAAAGCATCAAGGGAGTGCTTATTTTTCCATTTATGTTTTTTATTTGGGAAAGATGTTTTGGGAAAGATATCCATAGTAATCTGGACATTTATTTATTCTCAACTACCATTCATTCACGTTTTACTGTTTAAACACTACTGCAGAAGGGAAAGATCTCAGCATCCAGATGAAGACAAGCCATGCCACAGATGCAGCCTGGTTACCAGCCTGCTTAATTTTCTGGCTTTCAGACCATAGTTGTCGAATTCATCAGTCTCAAATTTGCAGTAACAGTTCCATTCCTTTGCCCACCAAAGGTTCTCCTGATACTTCAGCTATACTCCTCTTATCTCTAGACCAGACAACACCAAATAATCTGAAGTGTCACTTTCTACATGCACTTTCTTCTTTGAAGAACACCTTTATGCCTCTTCACATGCATTTTGTTTTGCCTAAACTGTGCACTTTCTGCTCAGTTTATCCTCCCAACAACAAAGCACTCCAGATACAGCTTTGATACATGCTAGCTAAAACTGTCGGTTCCTTGAAAGATAAGGAAGGGGAAAACAAAGTATCTCCCTGGTGCACCATTACTTTAGAGACATTTGAAGAAACAAAGACACTTGGCATCTTTCAAATACACATTAAAGGCATACAATTCTCAGCTAAAAAAAAAAAAATAAAATTACTACTACTCAATAATAAAACTACAGTATAACAATAAAATCTTATTACCCACTAACTGCCAACCAAAAAAATGCTTTTATTTATGTATTCAATGCTCATATGGCAAACGGCACAGTTTGACATGCATCAGTAAGTCCATCATACAATTTGCACATCTCAAAGATGTTGATCAGTTTATAAAGTTTGACTGAAATGTTTTCATCTCAAACATTTGATGTACAGTTAAACACAAAAAATAATAAGAGGAGTTAAAATTAAGAACTGACAAATATAAAGGCTCCAAGTCTGTACACTACAGTATTTTAGACACAGCTTATGGTATACTGCATTGAAGGTTAGCTAATGTCCTTGCACGCTGGAAATTTAACATTTCTGAACAGAACTAGAATGAGAAGGTTCTGTTGTAAAGAATTATTTTGGTAATGCACAAGAAACCCATTGTTAGCTGCAGCAGGAAACAAGTGAGTTAAAGAGGACTTTAGCACTTTGTCTATCAGGACTGAGCACATTTATGACTTAATATGGCTCACACTCTTCCCTGTGTTTAGAGAACATGGAGAAAAAAAATAATTCTTCACTACAGCATGAGTTTTACCCCTACATTGTATCCAGATTACAGTAGAAAGCAGGGAAAGGGGCAGTAGATGCTCTCAGCATAAGCACGTGGAGGGACCAACACCAGGCTTTGAAATCCCTTGTCCACAGCCCCCATTGCTCTACCACCTTGTAGCAGCAGCAGCAGCAACCAGCTCTGACAGTCATGGTCAACTGCACTCCCCCAGGAAAGGGCCCAAGCCAGAGATCTCAGACTGCCTCTGACCACTAGCCATAGGCCAGGAGTCTGGCAGGCTCAGAGCCTGCCTGAAGACTGGGCTGAGGTTGGCCAAAGGCAAACTACTACACTTTGCCATCTGGAGAAAAGCAAGACAGTCAACTAGAAAACATCCCCTTTTATTGCACCAAGCTTATCGTCCTGGACCACACCACTTATCTGTAATTTGCACAATTGCCATTTTTAATTTCATAGGTTCTCAAAACTCCTATCATTTGATGTTTCTTCTAATATATTTTACCTGAAATTTTAAATCCTCTGAGAAAATAAAAGTAGAGAAGGACCCAGTTTGTTCCCATACATTCACAATGTTATCGGTATAATTCCAGGAATTTTTGAAGCAATTTACACTGATTTTGCTACTCTTTCATTGAAGTCTGTTCAGCAAAAATGAAAAACAAAAGATATTTCAATGTACTAAGTGAAGAAAAAGAAATAAGAAACATACTTCAACATTAGGGCAGGCAACTCAGGATCATACCCAATTGAGTTTTAAACATTTCCACAGATTACAAAACCCTTCTGGACATTTGACTGTTCTCACTGTGGAAATTTTTCCTTGCTATCCATTCAACATTTCCCTTGTTGCAATTTTTGTCCATTGCTTCTGATACTTTCACTGTGCATTTCTGAGAAGAGGCTACCTCCATACTCAAGGAGGGATGGGAGATGGCAGCAGTAGGATCCCCTCTTAGTTCTCCCTTTCTAAGATTTAACAAATGCAGCTCGTTCAGTTGGTTCCCTTAGGTCACATACTTTCGCCCCCTTATCATCTTGGTGGCCCTCCACAGGGCTAACTCTACTATACCAAAGTCTTTCTCTTGCTGGGGAACCCAAACCTAGATACAATATTCCAGATGTGGTCTCACAAGTGATAAACAGTAGGGAATAATAATTTCTCTCAAACTGCTGACTATATTCTTGCTAATACAGCGCAGCTGTATTTGGCGCAGTCAGTCTTCATTGCCACGAGGGTTTGCTGCCAACTCACGCTCCCTTTGCTGTTCACCAGGACCTTCAGATCCTTTTCTGCAAAGCTGCTTTTTAGCCAGTTGATGCCTAGGCTATACTGTTACAGTTATTCTTTCTCAAGTACAGGACCATGGCATTTGCCCTTGCTGAACTTCATGAGTTTTGCCATTAAGTCCATTTCTCCAGCCTGTTCAGATCCCTCTAAACAGCAGTCTCATACTCCCCCCCAGTTTCCTACCACCCACAAAACCACTGAGGGTACATTCTCAATGTCTATACCACCAAGAAAAATACTGAACAATACTGACTGCAGTATCAACCCCTGAGAGGGCCCACTTCTAATAGGTCACCAATCGCATTTATTTTTATTTTTTTTTAACCTGTGATCAAGCCTCTGATCCCAGCCAGTTTTCCACCTACCTCCTAGTCCTCCTGTCTTTTCAACTGTGATACAAGATATACTATGGGGAACTGTGTCCAAAGTGTAGACAAAGTTGAAGCCAACAATATCCACTGTCCCCACTTTGTCCAAACAGTCAGTCACTTATCATCAAAAGCTGCCTGGTTGGTTAGTCCCTGATAAACCCATGTCAACTCATCCCAATCACCTCCTTATCCTTCCAACCAGTTTCCAGGACGATTCCTGATCTTCCCAGGGCCTGAGGTTAGGCTGATCAACCTGCAGTCCCTGGATCCTCCTTCTTGACCATCTTGCAAATGGCCATACATGTCTTTTTCCAGTCACCAGGAATCACCCTCGATCATCAGGACCTTTAAAAAAAAAACGGCAGCGTCCTTGCAATGACATTGGCCAGCTCTTTCAGCACTCTGACACAACCCACCTAGGTATCAGAAACTTGCATATGCCCCCTTTACCCAACACAGTCATCCTCTGTCAGGGCATAATGCTTCACTTCATGAGACTTTTCCATCAAATGGAGTAATTTTCCATCAATATCAACAGATTTTCTGCAAGCACTGATACATATACTAAAAAGCACAAATGGTACAGACAACTGTCGCTTGCTGCAATAAAGCAAATTTTCCAAGAGAAGTAATATGCTAAAATGAGATTTTTTTTATTTTTAAAGATACTCAGCATCTATTTTGTTACAGTTTATTTTCTGCATGTTCTTTCTTTTCCTTCAAACAGAAATCTTAGCATAACTGATAAAAATCAACAGCTTGTGTAGCTTCAGTTTCAAGCTGCAAACTAACAAGACATTAAACTGACCAAATCTAAACCTGGTATTTCAGACTAAATCCCCTTTGTTACAGCCTTATTCCAAATTCCATATTTCATTAGCATAGCCACAGTATTATTACAAACAAATAGTAAAGTCAGATATTATGACCAACATTACCATGTTCAAAGACAGCTTTAGCATAACACTCTGTAGGACCACACCTTCTGCAACTGTTCCATCCCTCTGGAAATAAAAGAGTGTAAACTGCATGCACACAAGACAGCCGGTTTTGTACACCAGTCCAAGGCAGGTTAGTCTCTCATGTAAGGAGTTTAATATGTGCTGTGTGAAAGGGTCTCAGAGATCAGAGGCCTGTTCCAAACTTAGAAAACTGTTTCAGAACATGTTCACAGGATGCAATTATTTGCCTTGCAACATATAGGTCACTGAGGGGTCCTTTCAGTACAGGCATTTTACTAATAATATTCAGAATACTCCAGAGAGTGTTCCAAGTACATAATTTTTGTTTATGAGCTTCTTTAAAAAGGTGATTAGAAAAAAATAGCGGGCCTTGAAAATAATACTTGAGGTCATCATAGTAATGTGCTACTTGGGAGAAGAACAATGAAGATTAATTTTGCTAATTGTATTTTTAAAGCTACATGATTCTTTAAAAAGTATACAAATATGTCAAACTGTTTACTCTAAGTTTTAAGGCATGTTCAAGTAGATACATACTCCCTGATTTGTACTCATCAAAATCCAAGTGTTTCGTTCAACAAGCAACATTCCTCTTTCCTTTCATTCAGTTTAATGCTTCACTGAGCAAACTTCATTTCCAAAGAAGGTTGAGGAAACACAAACATCAAACAGAACAAGGAATCCAAATGACTCTCTAAAACCAGTGCTTTGGTTCAGGAGCTGAAATATCATCAACGCCGTTTGAAATGAAAAGAGGGAGGTCTATTGTTGACATTCTTCAACACTTCAAATAGCAGAACTTCAAACATGCCAAAGAAGAAAGTATCACACATGCCTTCCCTCTCTTATGCATTCCTTTAAGTAGGTCTCAAAAATTCTTCTGGCCCACACTCCTGTAACAAGCATTTCTTTAATTAAGTTAAATACAATAGATCTATCTTTATGGAGACACAGGTAAAAAACACAGCTGGATTGTGCACCAGCTGCCAGAGATGTTTTCTTTATTCAAACTGCAAAATTTTAATGGAAGCATGTGAAACAACAAGTTTGGATGGTTACAATAGATCAGCTGATATCTTGAAGAACAGGTTAGACACTAAGGAAAAAGAAAATAAACCTTGTGCTGTTACATGTGAAAATACATTCCCTGAGGCATGAGGATTCTTAAAATGAAGTGCTGAAACCATCCCTATTAATAAAGGGGAAAATAATCATTTCGCCTGTAACCAAAGAACAGCACTGGCACATGCAAGAGCAAAGTGTAGCCATACTCCCCTCCATAGTCTAGTTGCTCAACAGCTGCACCACTGAAAGAGGAAGACCAGCTTTAGAAGCTCCAATTCTCACCCATTTGTGAAGACACAGCAGAACAAGACAGGCATAGACACAGATCTAGCACTCCGCAGAAAGTTTTTAAGATTATTCATCTTTTGTACACAGCAGAATTTCTCACACTGGAGAAAGAAAGAGGAGAGAAACAAGAAACCACCTCTGAAAATTTTAATTTAGCCTCTCTCTCTTCCCTCTCTCATCCTCCACCCTCCACCCTAAGATAAGTTTCTTCTCTCTGACAATGACTTGAAAAAATACAGTATAGTCTCTAAAGACAGGACACAAGCAAGAACAAAGGCTTAAGTTGATGCTGGTGCATAGTCTGAAACTATCCAGACACCTTAAGATGAGAAACAAAGTAGTCTATAGCACCCAGATATTTTGTTCCCACCATTGACGCAAGTTAGAGAAGCTAATGATCCATACACTAGCTAGGGACAGTCACAGTGCAGCAACATGTATTACACACACTTTCCTTCAGAGGAAAGGTGGGAGAGGAGAAAACAGCTGCAACTCACCAGCAGATCTGGTTAAACTTCAAAACAAAAGCTGTTCTTCTAGGTCACCCATATACAGCACAACTCACCCTTGTCCTGTACCATTGCTATATATCATGAGACACAGCACCATAAGAGAAACAGTTACTGTCTGACTGGCTTTCATCACAAAAGTGCTGCACTCACTCAGCTGGCTAACACTGGAGGACAACAGGTCACAGAATGCAAACGATGAAAGTTACTGCAAAGCAGGATTTTCTTATTTACCAAGTCACTCATCTGCTAAGTCAGTCAGTCAGGGCCAGACACTTGCAACAAATTTTTAAATCAAATTATGGCTCAGAGTGTGCTTTATTAACAAAGCCATGGCTCAAGGCATGTCAACCGTTCTGTGCCAGTAAGATCGAGCCTCAATGCTGCTTATAACAAAATTCCAACTAAGTGGACATTTCTGAAAGAAACCATTTATGAAACCATAGCTCGAGCAGAGTTTTTAATCGGTTTTAGCTACCCCTTAAGACATCCTGAAATAACGTCAGTAATGTTTGAGAAGAAATTGCTTTTCTTTTTCTGCCAGCACAGTATGAGCAATCTAGATTATATTCTTCTATGAGACACTTTATAAAAGACAGAATTAAACTGCATAAAGTTTTTAGATACCTTGAAGTCTAGCATTCTTTCAGCCAGTCTAAAAAAGATGTTTCAGAAGGAAAAAAAAAGAAAACTTAGTAAACAGTTTCAATACCATGAAGACCAGTTTCCCACTTTTAGAAAATTGAAGTAGGTATGGATCAATATAAAATTCTTGATCAAAGGAAAGCCTCCCTCTTACTCATCCTTTCCTCTGCTGAAGAGTTCATCGGCAATGATTACTTAGTAGAATTAGGGGACATCTGATGACTTATATCACAACTGCATTGCAGAACCATTTCCTAACTGGAAGAGGAAGAGGACAGCCTAGCTTGCCCATCTGTTTCTGCAACATCACAGTATCACTGAAATAATCCACCTGCCTAATAGGATGTCCTCCACCTATAACCAAAGACAAGTCTGAGCACCTTGGAACTGCAAGACAAACTGAAGGATGCTTTAAGCGAGATGTCCATTTCTGTTAACACTGAAATCAAAAGCAGAAAACCCAGCACTTCTACACATGCAAGCTGTTTTCTTTCAGCTTAGAGAAAGCTTAGACACACACAAAATGTCTTGAGAAGAACCTTGTGCAGACATGGGTATCCCTCTTTGCCATATGAATCAACCCCAACTATCTTCAAAATGAGAATAAAGGCTGGCATAAATATGGGGTGGGGGAAAAACCGCACATGATGACGTGTCTTTTTAAGATTGTGTCTAAAAATATCATGATAGCTGCTTTGCTACTTGATTTTTAACATCTGCTTTTTGAAGCAAAATTGTTACCATGCTATCAGGATCCAAACCAGTTACTCACAGAAAAACAGAGAATTAAAACAGAGGATTAATCTTCATTTATCCTTGCGCTGTGTCAAGAATGATGATGAATACTTATTACTATTAGCTTAAAACCATGGTCCATCTTGAATCATCCACTGAATCACATGCTAAAATACAAAATAATCAGTTTTGTGATGAATGCTACCACAACCTCCAAGCATTTGTTGAAGAACCCAGGGGCTGTTCACAGGCTAGGCGAGAGGAATATCTAGCTCTAAATTCCTTTTAGAAAGTAAGTTACTGCACACAGCTAAAAAACAAACAAACAAACAAACCAACCGACCAACAAAAAAAAAGAACCAAAAAGCCCTAACTGTATACAGATTAGGAGCTCTTTCTTGCCTGCAGAATCCCTCTTCAAGAGGTGCCTTAAAAAAGCTCCTTCAATTCCAGAGTATACCAAGATAAATCCACAGTGAATGATTAAGTGTTCTCAACAGAACTAATGAACCTGCTACCTGTTTTAATGTGGGGTACCAAAGAGCTGCTTTGTTAAAGTATTACTTTTCCTGTGGTGGTTCAACAGTCTTGGATAAAAACCAAAACAAACACTGAAGGTTATCTAGGCCGCAACTACTATCTATGCAGTTTCTTAAGCATTCCTAATATTAATGCAGAAAATGTAATATATTTTGAAAGGGCCTGATAATTATTTATTTTGGTTGTATTTTTAACATGACAAGGAAATACTTGAAAGGTACAATACAAACACGCCTCTCAGATAACATAGTTGCTATCACCTCTGTGGCAACAACTATCAACAACCCTGCTCCTGGTATGCACGAGCATCCTGCACAAGATGTTCCTCTGCAATGAAACATCCATGTCATACTTCTGTGCTACACTAGCAAGAATACCCATGATCCTGTGCCAACAATGATAGTTACACATTATGGAGCCTCGACAGCTCAACATCTAAAGCGAGAAAGAGTATGGGGAAAACCAGTCTTTTCTTCCTTAAATGCCAAATGGTATAGATCAAAAGAAGTATTTTC